AAGGATGTCTCTCTTATAAATATATGAGAGAGAGAGTTACACACAAATGAGAAAAGAAAGGAAAGAAATTCAAAAAAGAGAGAAAATCTCTCTAGGGTACATGATAAAAAACAAAATAAAAGGAGAAAATATTTTTCTCCTAAAACCCTTAATACACATCACTTTTCCTCTTTCTTTAAGGTTGTCGTAAACTTGTCCGAATTAGATTTCTATAAGAAATACCACACAAATAAAAAAAATGGAGGTAGCACTCTATCAATTTGATTGCTTCTTTGTGAGTCCTTGGACTATATGGATTATCAATGGAGGCTAGACTCTTAGATGACTTTTTTGCTAAAGAATTTAGATTTGTGCTACAAGAAATAATTCTCTATTAATTTCGTTAATTCATGTTCACATAGTTAATTGATTCAACGACATGATCTTGGGCTCTTTAGATGGAGGAAATTTTTTTTTATTCCGTACCTCCATAAAATGCATGATCCTTCAGCTTGGGATATCATTTGGAGCTGGAGTAGTTGTTGTAATAAAAATGGCCAAGAGGCCATTAAATTAGGAACTTTGAACCTTTTTTTTTTTTTCAAAAATTGATATTTTGATGTGTTTTTTAATGCTTTTTTAGGTATTGGATTATTATTTGTCTAGTAATAAGTTATTTAATGTTTACAATTATGTTAAGAAACTCGCTTAGATTATTACTTTTCTAGTAATTATTACAAAATATCATCATAATCATTGCATTTGATTAAAAATATATTACAATTGAAAAAAATTGATTGCTATAATATTGCAAATTATTGTATTAAATATTTTATAAATCATTTTATTACTACAATAAACCGTTGCATTATAGATAGAAAGGGTTAGTTTATATATAGAAAAACCATTGCATTAAAACATCCAAACTACTACATAATACAACAAAATATCGCCGTATAATTTTATATAAACCGTTGCATTAGCTAATTTAAACTATTGTGTAAAAAATACCAATAATCGTTGCATATATTATAAGAACCGTTGCATATGTTTTAACTTAAACCGATGCTACACCATTCTTTAAACCGTTATCCGAAGTAACTAGGTAACCGTTGTAATTAAGGGGTATTATACAACGAAATGTGTTTCGTTGCTACCGTATATGGAAACCATTGTATTGATCTATTGCAATGTCGGGAAGATGTAGTGGTCGGTAAATCGTTGTATTAGAATAAATGTAGCGGTTTTCAATTATTGCTTAAGGCTTCATATGTGTTAGTGCCATTATGTTCCTAGTGCATCTAGTGAATTGTCCACATGCAACTCTTGACTAAGCCTATCAAAATGAGTCTCAAAGTATATAAATCCTCTAATGAGATAACCATGATGACTTCGAGTCAAAAGAGCGAGTTGTACCCATCTCGTATGAGATCCCATAGACTAAACCAATTGGATTCTCATGGCGAGTCACATCTAATGATATGTTCTCTAACATTAATCACCTAAGTGCTTGTTTTGGCATCACCATAAGAATAGGTGTGAGATCTCCTACTACTATCTTATAGTATAAGCATAACGATCACAAGTCTTACTACATATAGTCAATGTCCATTCTTGATAATGCTATAACTTTAGACGAGTTAATGATATCATTTAAGTGCACTAATGTTTCTCTAACATTTTTTGATCAATCATTAATGCAATGCATATCAAATGGACTTTTATTTAATTTTATCAAAATACAAAGTACAAGAATTAATATAAAGACTTATTTTATTAATTAAATAAATAATGGAATATAACAATAAATTCATACCATCCAAAGAACGTTGGATCTTGGACACCAACAATAATATTTTCTCCTTCTTTATTTGATTCTTCTAAACTTTCCTAAACTAATTTTAAGGTATATAGATGGGTAGTTTAGTAGTTTAGGTGATTTTTTTGCATTAATTCTACATGAAATAGCATGAATTTTTCCTTTATTCTTCCTTGAGTTTCCATTTTTTCATCACTTTCTTCTTCCTTTTCTTGCCAAATTTATAGGCAAGGAATTTCTTATGATTTTGCAAAGTGTAGTACACTTGGTTTCATCACCTTAACTCCTTCGTCATGTTGGTGCTTTCTAGAGTTTTCTTCATATTTCTTTTCCTTTGATTTTTCTTTAGATTTTTTTTTTTTTTGATATTTTCCTCTATTCTTCTCTCCATTTGGAAGACCTACTTTAGCCTCTCTTTCTCTTTAATTTTCAGCCTAATTCTGGTTGGAATTGGTCTCTCCAACTAAATTAGTTGATCTTTTCATTTACCAAAATTTAAGACTTTAGTCCCTAAACTTTTTAATTAGTTTAATCAAGTCCTTCAATTTCAATCCTCAAACTTTCAATTTGTCACCGCCAAGCTTCAATCTAGGCATTTTCAAGTTTTAGAGTGGTCACTTAAGTTTTCTAATTATTTCAATCAAGAACTCAAATTTTTAATTATTGCGATTAAACCCCTAGGGTTTTGCAATTACATCCCTAGGTTATTACAATCACAACAATTAATATTATAAACCACTAATTCAAGCACAAAATAATTCAATTACCTTCCGTAATATTTATGCATGCTCTAATTTACTTTCTAAGCAAGCATAAAATATTAATTCACACCTAAAATAAATATTCATACATTAATTAATTAATTTGTTCATACACATATATTTATACACATTTCGAAGGTTTTTAGCTCGAGAATATTACATCACATAATATGCTTTTAGATTTTAGAATGCTTTTTTATTGTTTTTTTTTTTTAAATTCTTATCCAAATATATTCTTTTCTTTTTTACATAATTTTACTTGTTAACGAGATATTATTTTTTCTTTCTCTATGTATGAATTTTGAAATAAAATTTTAGGATATAATTATTTTTTTCTATTTTTTAAACTATATTAATATAATTTTTATGATGGATTCTTATTATTTTTCAAAGAGATTAGCATACTTGTAGATGTATATTATTTAATCTAAAGGCTAGAAATGTATTTTTGATATTTTATGCTAAAAGTTTTGGAAAAATTAATTTTAAAAATAATCAATTAAAAAATAAAATTCATATGCGTTATTTGCTTCTCTTTATGTGATTAGAATTGATCAAAATCAATTTTGTTATAGTTTTTATTTTAGTCTCTTAACTTAAAATTCATTCAATGTATTCCTTACAAGTGAAATTTAAATATATATATATATATATATATATATATATATCACACTTTAAAATCACTAAATACAGTCATGATGTATTTAAAAAAAAGTTAAATCAATGATTTTATTAAAAATTTACTATATATTTACAGTACATAACATCAACCATTTGCTATCAATTTTCTTTTTCTTTCAAATATTCTAAAATCAATTTTTTTCAAATAAAATAATTTAAATAATATTTTGAAATAATTAGTCAATGACTCAAATATAGTTTTTTTGTACTAATATTATTGATTTGTGATTGGATAAATATAAATAAAATATACATGTTTTTTTAATAATCTCCTTATCGACATTAAATAAAAATAAAAGATATTCTTTTATTTGTTAATTTTTATACAATTTTTATATTAATTGTAGTTTTATTTTCTTGATAAAATCTTGAAGAAAAAATATTAAGGTATTTCAGAAAAAAATTTAACAAATATATTTTTTTAGATTATTATAAGCTTATATTTAAGAATCAATGCATAAAGAATAACAAAGCATTTTTTTTCAAGTAGAAAATATAAGAAAAACATAAGAATAAATAAAATGCAAAATTTTGATTAAAAAATTTGTTAACTTTGGTCAAATTTTTTCTTTTTCTTTTTCTTTTTAATTAGATATATTTTAGTGGACTTGAAATATAAGACAAATGATTAGATTTAAAAAAATAAAAATTTCTTTCTGATATGTAACAAAGCGGGAGTAATAAATTACTTTTTAGGTATAACAATTTTCTTTTATGTTATATAATCTAATTCAATAATTGTATGATTTAAACTTTTCTTTTATAAAATGCAGGAAGAAGAAATAGCAAATAGCGATATAATTGTTAGCCTTAGAGATTTTATATTTGTTTCATATTCTAAATATAACTAGTAATTCTTAACTAATACCATATAGGCTCATTGTAATAAGTTTATTAATTAGAATTGAAATAATTATAAATTATTATTTATTTCTAACATTAACTATTGAGTATTGAGAAGTTTACAAAAGAAATAAAAAATAAAAAAGTGAGTACATATATATACATATAGCGGATTCGATTTTGTTAACTCAATAGATATGATCTTCGTTAATTAACTTGTCGGGTTGGACACAAAATCTGCATCCTAACCAATTGCAGGAGTGAGTAAATATCCTACTTGTCATAGGGTACTGGTACTAATGAGAGAGTACAATGAGCAGTATTTTGTCCCATTTTTCGCACAAGACAAGTTGATTTATCTTAGAGACAACGCCATCCCAATTTATCCTACATATTGTGGTTTGGTTCTAATTCAGTCAAGCAATGCATATTAGTTGCAGCGGCATGCTGCTTTATCCGGTTTAATGGTAGATAGTTCTAAAAAGAGACTTATATTCAAGTGATCATGGTTTTTTATAAAATCATGAGATCAAATTCTAATAGATTAATTCTACTACAAATTTTGAATATGTGAGTTAAAAAAAAAAAAAAAAAAAAGCCTACTTTTCATGGCATTGCAAGGATGATTAGGTTCTATTGTTAGGTTACTAAATTTTTTAAGAATACCATTAGATGTTATACTTCCGAGCTAATTAGCCCGTTGTAGCACTTTATGCTCGAACAAAGCACATACCAAACCAAACAAAAGACAGAAGGGAAGAAAAGCCCAAACTGAGAAAAATTCAAGTACTAAACTAACTTGGCCCAGCATCTAAAGATACAACTTATTTTGGACTTCGGGCTGAGCCGGTTTTTCTTTCGCCAAAGCGCAGGAGAAAGACTGCCAGTGTTACTCAGTTGCTGCTGCAGTGTCTTCAATGGCTTCTCTCTTTAACAAATTTCAAGAGGTAATTACATCTTTCTTTCTGCCTTTCTCTCTACTGGCTTAACTTAATCTGCTTCTCTCCATGATTGTCTGGTTAGACATTAGGTAGATTCAGGATCATGTTTATTGATAAAGATGTGAATGAAGTTTGAATTTTGAATGATCGAGACATTTTAGAACAACCCTTCTGGAAACGTAAAAAAAAAAAATGTGCGAACTTAGAAAAAGAATAATGGGTTTTGATTGTTATGGAATACTAAGTCAATGAACGCATAGTAGCATCTGTGAAGAGAATTACAAATGATTGAATTAGTAGAAAATTAGGCTTTAAGTAGATGAGTTGTTAACTGACATTTGAGGTTGTTGGTGTTTAGTTAGTAGGATTAGAGATGGAGTGTCATGGAATTGCTCTTAGTTTGCGAAAAGAGTTACTACATGGTTTTAATGTTGGTGAAATGAGTAAAGCCTGTTTCTTTTGTTGTTTTCTATTACAGGTTGTGAAAAATCTGGCCAAAAGTCCCACATTTGCTAAAAATCCAAGGGAGTTCCAATTTGAAGCTGACATGAATCGTCTCTTTCTTTTTACCAGGTTCCTGAGTCTCTTTATTTTCTATGTTGTGATTGGTTGTATCTTGCTACCTTAGTGTAGATTGTGCAGGCCCTAATAGGGTGTTGGCATTAGATTGGCTCCTGAAATCTGTGCTAGGAACATCTGATTTGCAAAAAAAAATTAGTTTCCTGTTCCTTTTTCTGTAATTAAATCTCTGTTTTCAAGAAGCTAATTGTTGAAAGAGTTCAAAAAACTCAAAATTACTGTATCTTCTTGCTTTGGTACTCTCAAATTTTGTAAATGTTTTGATCTTACTCTCAAATTTGCTAATTGTTTGACTTTCTTTTCTTTGGAATGTTGCATAAGTATGCTGAAATTTAAGTTCGAATTTTCATTGTCCTATACTTGGGTTCTTTCATCTTGTATCAAATTTGTTTTTTTGGATACCATTTAGAATTGAGTGCCTCCTACATGGCCTATTATTTTAGACTTGTGATTGCTTCTTCTTTTGAGTACCTTGAGTTGCTGTTAATGAAGTCGACATCTTCAGTTACAATCGTTTGGGGAGGAATGCCGAGGAGGCAGATGCAGAGGAGATCATTGAAATGGCCGGTAAAGCTTCTGTTGATGATCAGCAGAAACAGGTCCAAGAAAACATCCATTTTCAAATTACAAACTTCTGTACAGCTATGAATGAAATTCTTCTTCCTGATGTGGCAAAGAGAAATGAGAACGATGAAGCTCCTGCACAATCGAATGCTGCTCCTCACCATAGCGGCCTTAGTTTTGCTGTCAGCAAGAGTGGTCCACCTACTGACCGTTCTGGTGAGTTTATGTGCACAATCCTACTTGTTAATTTACATAAACTTCTCTCCAGAGTTAATTTAATGAAGATAATACCAACTTTATGTCTTAAATTGCTTGGATGATATTACATGGTACCAGGCACATATTTGTTCATTTCTTGTTTTTGGCTCACTGTTCAATACAACTGCTTTCTCCTGTTCTTTTTTATGCCTTTTTAATCGTCTCTTTTCCATGTTATAATGGTGCAGCTCTCAGATAATTTCAATTATAGAAAGCAAAAAATTTTCGTCTAGCATAAATTATCTACAAGTTATGTATTGCTAAATATCACTGGAAGCGTGACAAACACCATTTGGAACTTTTAATTCCTAAAAGAGATACAATTACATGAAACAAAAAGGATTGATGAATAAGAATATAGTCAGAAGTACAAGCCCTTATTTATGACTGAACTTCTAGCCTTCAATTTTGATTAATGATGTTTTTCAGCACAGCTATATCTGAGACGAGGCAGTTAAATTGGGCTGAAGTATCACAGAGTTTAAAAGATCACATTGGCTACACACTTGATCTCAAGCCATCTCTGATACCCCACAATGATGCTGGGCGAGGTTTGTTCATAAGCGGCGAGGCTGATGTGGGCACTGTTATTGCCATATACCCTGGTGTCATTTACAGCCCTGCCTATTACCGGTATATCCCAGGGTACCCAAAAGTCAATGCCCAGAACCCATATTTGATCACTAGATATGATGGTACTGTGATCAATGCCCAGCCTTGGGGTTCTGGGGGTGAAAGTCGCGAAGTGTGGGATGGCTTAACTATGCCAGAAATCAGACCTAGTGTCCAAAGTATTGAGAAAGGTTCGGATCGGGTCTGGATGATGCTGAGCAAACCTTTGGAAGGTACACGAGTTGGTTCTATTGGTGATGTCTTGGAGCGGAGAAACCCATTAGCTTTGGCTCATTTTGCTAACCACCCAGCGGAGGGTGTGGATCCTAATGTTATGATTTGCCCCTATGACTTCCCGCTGACTGAGAAGGATATGAGGACCTATATACCAAATGTATCATTTGGAAAATCAGAAGTGAATATGAGAAGATTTGGCAGTTTTTGGTTCAGATCCAGTGCCAAAAATAGCGCATATGATGTTCCTGTTCTCAAGACTCTGGTGTTAGTTGCCACTAGGGCAATTGGTGATGAAGAAGTGCTCCTAAACTACAGGTTGAGCAATGCGAAGCGTCGGCCAGCATGGTATACTCCAGTGGATGAAGATGAAGACAGGAGGAGATGGAGCTAATGAGTCGATGTTGAAACTGGGCTGCAACCTGGACTTGGTCGTTCTTGAAGGATATGGTCATGTCAGCACTAGTAATTTTCTTTAGAGTAAGTGTACTTGTGAGTTTTGTTTAAACCCCTGAAACACTTCATGTAGAAGCTGGATACGTTTGGATGTTGGAATGGTTACAATGCTCAATATCTTCGCAACTAAGCTGGGATAACGAATTTTGCCAGAGTGATGAGTTTTGATTTCTTGTTTTTTGAATTCTCTAAATCTTGTAATAACCAAAATAGATTCCAAAGTGAATCGTTTTCAAGGTGCTACTCTGCTGCAAAAACTTGGTAATGTTGTGTTAAAACTTATACAGGGTGATTAGATTACAATCTGTTGAATATTGTGTCGTTATTTCAGCTGGGCCGAAGATTAACTCCAAACTTTTGAAATCAGATATTAGACTGGAGCTTATTGAAAAGGAAGAGAAATGTATGGTTTGCTCAATAACTCTAAGCTTCCTTCCATTCATACAGCCTCGAACCTTCCGGTGGTGTTCTTTTACTGGAGTAGATTCCCCATAGAACTGCCGGCTGGCATCATGTATGCCAAAGTTTCTCAAGGTGTCCTTGCTTCACGGAGTTCCTAGCGTTTCCTATTGGGTGTTTGTAAAGGAAAATGGATAAATTGAGTGGATGAATCTCAAAACTATTCTTTGTGAATTGCGAGGCATGCTATATATATTTATTACGAGGGAGGTCTTTATCATATGGTGAGGCATCCGGTGGTTGATTTTTATTTTTTATTTTAATCGCTTCAATATTCTATAATAATAATTATTCCGTAAAATTTGATAAGATTTAGCTTCCATGATAAGCTAGCCCAGGTAAAAATAAAGTACTCCCAGCATTGCTCTTGTTTGGTTGTTGTTGTTGTTGTTGTTTTTTTAAGTAAAAAATACATCATAATTCTTGATTAAAAGAAAATATATATATATATTAATAAGGTTGTAGGCATATAGCTTAGGGGGTGTTTGATAACCTATTCAAGTATCTTAAAAAATTAAGTTATAGTACTTAATATAAAAAGTTTATTTGATAACCTAAATAATCTTATATTAAACATTTAAGTTAAGTCAAAATCTACTTAAACATATAAGTTAAAATTTTTAGCTTATTACTTTTTTAGTAACACGTTCAGTTGAAAAAATTTTAGAACTTTTTAAATATAACTTTATCGTCTTTATATATTCTTATAACTTTAGTTATACAAACCAACTGAAAAATAATCTCTAGTATCCCTATTGCTAAAACAAAGGAAACCTTAATTATCCAAGTAAATACCAAATAGCTTATTAGGAACATATTTAGTACTTAATTATTCAAGCACTTAAAATTCGAGTATTTAATAGATTCAACACTTAATTTTAGTTTTATCAAACACCTTAGTGTTATTTTTAATTGAGGTTTGTGTTCCCATCTTTTACCTCGACTTCATCAATTATATGGTTTTATTTCTATTTTACATTTCATGTACTATTATTGTCCAACAAATCATGATATTATTTAAAAAAAAAAAAAACAAGAATAAAGTAATGATTGAACATTGCCTCTCAAGAAGTTCTATGCTTGTTTTTGTAATTTCATTTAACTATATAATGATACAATAACGAGTTTTAAGATTAATTTTAGGTAATGTTTTTAATAGAAATGCAATTTTATATTTTTTTCTTTAACCTCATATTAAAAACAATCTTAGGGGTGAAATTGTATAAAATCGGATAACACAGAGTCTAATCAACCAAATTTAAAACCACGGGTGAAATTGAAAGATTGATACAAACATAGTAAATTTAATGGTTGATAGTGTGTCGCTCTATCAACATTAATATTTTTATATTTTCCTCACTGGACCTAGTCACATGATTGTAGCTAGGGCAAGTCGGGATCGATCCACTTAGGGAGAGGCGGTTCAATTAAATTTCTTTTCTTCTCATTGTTTTAGAGTAAAGTAAAAAGGGGTTTTGGTTTGTAGGTTGAGAATATTAAAAGTATATAGGAATAAATAAAGAGTTAATTATAATGATGAAAGCGTTAGTTCAAAATGGGTCTACATTTTTGGTTGATTTGTTGATCATCGGCTCATACATTAATCCATTCATATTATGAATATCCATTGTAAAACAACAACATATATGTTATCTCTAATCTTTTCTTAATGATTTGTTAACCAAATAAATGCTATCTAGTTAATCCCTAACTATTGAACAACCTAGTAGACACTAGCTAGATTTAATCCAACAACGAGCATTAGTTAATAGAAAGATAGGAGGAGTTAAATAACCCTCCTAGATGCTAAGAGAATTTAATCTAGTTTCATGTTTTCCAATGGATTAAACGAAAACCTATTTATAATCATTAACCCATGGTTGCTACAATAAGCAAGTTTAGATAAACAATTAAACGAACTTGAATAATGATTAACTAATTAGCATGCACTCTAATCAATCAAACAAATAATCATATTCAAATAACATAATATATATAATACTCAAAAGAATAGGATTAAAGATAAAACCTATTTAGATGTCACAACAAGTTACACCAAAAGCTTCAAGTTTCTCTTCGACCAAGAAAGATTCTTAGTTGCACATGGTTTTCTTACAAGAGAGGTATGGTTACTAGGATGAAAGATGAATCAATATAAAGCCCTAACTTCTCTATTTATAACTTAAAGGTAGGGTTACAATACACACATAGCCACCTCACAAGACACATTGTTTGTTTGTTATAGCACATTGCTTACTCTTTGGATTTACACAGTTTAAAGCCTTAAACAATTAGTGGCACATGGCTTGTTTGACTTAGGAACACAATCATGTGCCATTTGCACTTCATCTCATATCTTTTATTGCTTCATCTCGTGTCACCGACTACTCGTTCGGGTGATTTGGTTGCTTCATCTCGTGTCCCTAGATACTGCCTGTGTGTCTTTATTACTTCATCCCATGTCCCTAGCTAATTAAGCTTGTGAATCTTTAATAATCGGATTGAATGGATCCGATATGTGTTAAGCAAGAGTTTTTTTTCTTCATGAAAGTTGCAGCCCTATTTCTCATTTTTTCCAATGCATTATATCTTGCATCAATTAAAGATTCATAACTTGGGTTATAAGTTAAATACGATACCGACTTAAACTATTCACCCGACCTTAGGATTCTAGTTTGCGATTGAATTCCTTTATGCAATCAACCTATTTTGGACTTATTACCATAATAAGAATTATAAGTATGCCTCTTAATTATTCCATGTGCTTATGATTGTATCAATTGGAGTTTTGAAGCTCCAAATCTAGATTAAATTTTACAACAAATCGAAATCCGAATAGGATTCGATCGAACTCTCTATACCGAATATGAAATATTGTTTGATAGCCTAAACAAACTTGAATTTTGACCCATTATATCATTCTAAAAAGCTTGAGATGTCCTATATAAAGTATTTAAAGACCACTTCTTCCAAATGTAACTTTAAGGCCTTCGAAAACTTACAAGAATTCAAAAAGGTCAAAGTCAATCATGTTGGAATTCTCTAACTTTTAAGCATAATTATTCTAAAATCCTAGTTTATATCTTCCACATGAATATGAGCATAGATTATCATAACAAGGCATAAAAAATTGCAAATAAACTAAATTTAAAGAGAGTAAAGGTATGATATAATGTTTCTATCAAATTCCTTCACACTTAGCTTTTGCTAGTCCTTGAGCAAAAAAAACAAAATAAAAGTCAAACTCACTTTCGTAGGAATCACGATTGCATTTAGCATATGTAATAAGCCTTTAAACTCCTAGGTTATCCTTAGTGGATGAGTTATGTCTCGTGAGGCTTTTCGGAAGATATACCCATAAAATCTTAAATGAATGTCATGCCAATATATTTATCATTTAAACATTAATTCTTAATTCAAAATTTAAAAAAATCAAATAATTAAATCAGTCATGTTTAATGATATTCTTCTCATGTCCATGGATGTCTCTAAATTAATTTGTGTATCCTTATAACTAGCCATAATTCGAGCATGCAATACCTATTTTGCCTTTACTCCTTTCCACTACTACAAGCAAAAGTAGTAAATCAAAATTTCTTTTTTCTTAAATTTTTTTCTTATTTTAGCATTCCAATCCTCTTTAAAGGCCTTTATCAACTTTTCCCTAAGTGATCACTCATTTTATGTGACTACTAACATTTGTGATGAAAACAATTGGTTACTTAGTAAGTCATACACTTAGAATGCTTTACATACTCATAATTCAAGTCACTATTTGACGTGAAAATAAACATTTGTGATGAATACTCCTAGTTATTAACAACTTAAAATATTAGAGTAGATTTACAATCAATAAAGCTAACTTTTCACTTAGAATGCTTTCTTTTTCTTTTCTTTTTCTAATTCTCATAATAGCTAGAAAATCTTGTTTACTTAAACCATGCTTAGGCCTAGTTTTAAAGGATAATTACAAAATAAACATCATTTCCTAAATCATGCTTAATCATAAAGACAAATGAATCTTTCTAGCATGTGTGCATTTTCACAATCACAATATTCTAAACAACCTCAAATTTCTTATAAGATTTTGTCAAAACTCTTCATTAATTATCAATTAAGAAGGATATCATACTAAATATGACATTCATTTCATCATTTTTTTTTTATAGATAACTAACCTAAAAAAATTCAAATAAAAATTTAAACACAAACACAAAACATATAAACAATCATAAATAAACAAAGAATACAATCAAATCTAAAATTTACCCCCACACTTAAACTTTAAATTATCCTCAATGTAAACACAAAATGGATTATATGCATTAAAAATTGAAAGAGAAAGGGTAAAAGATCAAATTTAGTATACAATAGTCAAAATGGATTTGAAAATGAAGGATGGAAGGGTAGCCAAAGACACACATCCGTGCCTCTTATGCTTGCACATGCCATGTGTAATGTTACTACCCATGCCTCCTTTTTCTCTTTCTCTCGTTAGTGTAGGTGCCTAAGATCCAACCATGTTTGGATGAGTTTGAGTTATTATATTATTGCATTATTTATGATATTTATAATAAAAAAATCTTTCTATTAATTGTTGTTATTTACTTTTATTGATTGCATAGAATTAGATAGAAGTTCTTATGATCTGCCTTTGCATTAGTGATTGATTGAACGATGTGAAACAAACACTAATGCACATAAATGATATCATTAATTATCCCAATTCATAGCATTATACAGAATGGACATTGAGTATATGTTGTTAGACTTATGAGTACTATGCTCATGCTATATGATAGTAATATGAGATCTCACACCTATTGGTATGATGATGCCAAAGCAAACACTTAAGTGATTTATATTAGAGAGCATATCACTAGACTTGAATTATCCCGATAACCCATTTGATTTAATCTACGAGAATCTCATACGAGATGGGTACAACTGGTGTTTAGACTTGAAGTCATGACAATTATCTTATTAGAGGATTTATGGACTTTGACACTAGTTTTAATAGACCCAATAAAGGATTGTCCGTGGATGATTCGCTAGGTGCACTAGGAATCTAATGGAGGTAGGTAGATGAATAAGATAAGAT